ACCTGGCAGAGTGGTGCCAACCAATTTAATCCCAACATTTCTTAGGCACTTTGGGCCAGGTGCAGAGGACATCAAGATGAACGAGAGAAGGAAAAGCTGACCTCAACAGCTTGGACTCAAGAGAACACAGGCCCTGATAGAAACAGTGCCTTTAAGAGCAAGGTTTTAGATGAGATAGGTATGAAGCTGTCTGGAAACACATAGGCAGGGGAGAAAGCAAAATCCAAAGCGAGGAGGCGCACATTTGAGCTGGGAGATGTGAGCCAGACCGTGGGAAAGGCAGCCTGGACAGAGTTTAAGCCAAGACACAGAAGAGGGAAAGCTAAGCATGAGTTAAGTTTGGAGGACGCCGCACCTTCTCGTGCGGCTAGAGTAGAATGTGCATGGGAGGGTGGCTGCAGCTTGGCTGCCACACGAAGGAGTTTGGACCTTACAGGTATTTCGAAAGCACTAGAAGTAGTTCGACCAAGTGACAGGATCAGGTCTGTTCTTAACACGGTTATTCTAGGGATAACGTCAAGAATATACAGGGTGGGTGGGGGAAGATGTGAAGAGACTGTGAAGGGACTGTATTAGTTCATTACTAGCTGCCCTCGTTTCCATGGTGTGAAACTAAAAATGACAAGTGTCTCAGAGGCAAAATTTGAGAACCTAGACCCCTGGGGTGGTAGAAAGGATGCCATGGCCAATCAATGAAATGTGGTAGAGGGAATCAAGGACCATGCCCAGCGTTCACGGATATTCAAAACATGTACATGAAATGACTGGTACCAAACTACACTGTCTTGGACAATGACCTAGTAGACTTCCCATCTCCCCCCAGAACATGGGCAGTAGGAAGAAACATGCCCAGCCCATTTGTTAGTATTATCTGGTGACAAATTAAGCAACAAATGAACAAACTGACTAACAAAAAATGAACAAATTCACGCCAGCACTAGGGAGGGATAGCAGCTTGCAACTGTCGCTGGCAGGAAGGTTTAGAAGAAAGTACCTGCTTTATAAAACCACGGCGCGGGACAAAAACTGCCAAAAGCATTCTGCAATATAGAAATCAGAAAACTGACCATTCAAAAACGGGGGCAGGGAAGAAAAAGAAAAGGCACAATTATTTCAGCAGTTGATAGTCTGAAAAACCCTTACAGGGGCATCTTTAAATGTATTTCTATCATGAAATTCAGTATACACTCAATTACATTATTCAGTACCAGGTATGGAATTTAGGGGAGCCATTCATGCTAAAATGCAAACGCAGTGAGGAAGCTGTGGAGCCCAAGGGTAGATCACCAGCAACTGACAGTCGTCAGCATCACCATGATCCCCGGGCTGACTTTTCAGAGCCATCTGATACAGCTTACCTGCTTCCAAAAGTACCAAAGTGTACCTATAGATATGCCAGCGATGCCAAAGAAATACTAATAGCAGGAAGTCCTCCCCTCCACTGTTTCTACCAGTGCTCCCAGTTACCTTGAGTCCAATTAATTACAAGGTCTTCCCACCATTTCCAAAGTGGTAGTCAGACACCTAAATGTAGTCCACTCAAACCAGGGCTACACAAGAACATTTAGATCTAATGGGTCACTCAAGATGACTAGAACTTCCCAATCTCTCCATGTCATTTCCGTTTGTCATTTTTTTTTCTTTTTAGTGAAGTGAGTCATAGTGTATAGATCTTTCTCCTCTGCACAAAATAGTTTCTCTCTCAAGAGAATGGTACGGATATAAAAATTACAACGAAATTTTTACATTCATCTTCTTGGACTGTAACAATGTAAGCTGTACACAGCAGCAAGGAATTTGGGTGAACTACTGTTATAGCATGGTTTAACCTAGTCAGGCATTTGATCATATTTCATAATGAAAGCAGCTATAAAAACAAATGTCAATTGGAAGAGCGGCCCACTTTACAAAGCCTGCCTCTAACATGGAATAAATCTTGACTTCAAGTCACGAGCTATTGTTGCAATCGTCTTTATCTGAAACAATCACATCATTCACACTGAGAAATAGTGAACAGTGTCAGAGAGTCGAAGAACTAGAGATGAGACCAACAGCAGAACACCTGACCCAAACCTTAAAGTACAAACGGAGGGCAGCTCATTAGCTATTTTCATTCATTCCAGCCCTCTCCTCTTTCATTCCAGCCCTGGAAAACCAATCCCTTTCCCGTGTCTGGCATCTCTCCCCTCTTCTGGACAGCCAGGCCAACTCAAACTCCAGGCTCACTAAGTATGACTTCCACTTTTCAAAACAGGCACACAATCACTTAAATGACAGAAAACAACTTTTAAAGCCATCTACATATGCTAGTATGCTGACTTTTTATATATCTAAATGCTGATTAGTATCTATGCGCTTAACAATTAAAAACACAGTTATGCTCACTTTCTCAAGTTAGGCTAGCACAGAATCTTTGCCAGAAACGTTTGTTTCCTAAGCCACCACATTCCTCGGCATTCAAGCCTAATTCACCCTTTGTTCTTCTCCCAATTGTTTCCAAGCTTTTGCATCTTTTTGTTTTAGTTAGGAAAGAAGTATAGTGAGAAATAACCGCACAGTCTCACTTACAAAGTTGTAAGCCAAAATTACCTATTATTTTTAAAATCACAACAGACTGCACAAGCTCAAAATGACTTTGTAGAGGGCTGCCCTCACTGTGACATGCTATAAAATATTAATTTTTTTACTTCCATTTCCAACCAATGATGAACACATTTCTTTGAATTCTTGAAAAATAATGGTTTTGGGAAATTGACACACACTTCGGGAAATTTGCCACTTTAGACTCAAAGTCGTTTGAACTCTACGTTTTTAAAAATGCCATGGTTGCCCAATAACGAGCCACTGTTAAACTCAAAAAGGAAAGGAGATTCTGATTTCAATTTTAGAAAAGAAAAATATCTGTATGGTATAGGTGAGAAAGCCGATAGTGGACAATTCTCTAAAATAAAAAGGAACCCGACCTCCAGGAACATCCAATCCACCAAGAAGCTGAGAAAATCTCGACACACTGCAGTGTGGCTAACTCCTGGCATTCAAATGTGGTAGCCACACGTAAGAATGGTGAGGGAAATTAACTGAGAACCAACATGCTTCATGCTGGGGGCGTGCATAACACGGTTTTAACAATGCTTGGATGATAGGTTCCCCACTCTACCCTAAAACAGTAAGAAATAAGATTCAACCAAGAACTGTTTTTTTCCTCCCCAAGAACTCTTTATAATATGAATTTGCTGTTGCCAACTTTGTTTCAGTACCAAAGATTTTCCCCAGTGCTTCCTAGAGGCCATCTCCACTTGTGATGGGATATATTCTAATCAATACTTCAAACCAACGGTTTTTTCATTTAAAGCCACTTGAGACTCTACTGCATTAGATTTGATGTAGAAAATCTGTCTACACATTCTTAAAATTACTAGTGGAATTCATTCAATTAACTCAGAGATGAGACAATACAAATTTCCTATATTGATTCAGCACAGTTATACAGATTACAGTGGTTAAAAATACTAGTCTATTAGAAGTTAATATCCATTACAGTCCTAGTAAGAATCCTGTCAAATAAGTTTGATGCAAATCCACATGAAGCCAGGCCTGCCGAAAAAAGGCTTTTGTTAGTCAAGCATACCAAAGAACTGCTTAAAGCTTTTTTCCTTTTTAAGTGGAGCTCAAAATAGATTTTAATACGACCAGCTGATGGATCTCCCAATTTGCCTTTTGAGCCTATAAGCTGAAAACAGAATAAAATGCATTCTCCCTTCACACAAGTAACAAAAATCTCCCTAGTCTGTCCATCACCTATTTAAGATACTGAGTGTGGTTGTGGTTAATCCTCACAACCCCCGCAATGACATTTAATCAGGAGCTCGTATTTTCTTTAGAGGATTTAGCTGCTTATGAAAGCAGACCTTCTCGTGTTGTTAATCTGATGCTGCAGACTGGTGAGAAACCCTACCTTCCTAACTTTTTTTTAATTTATGAACCACGTAACCCACAAGGAGATGGAAGACTGGGAGGACTCGATTATCTCAGCCGGGACAAAAAGGGTAAGATGCTCACTGGGGAGAGAAGCTGTTTTAGAGAGGGCCAAAAAAAAAAAAAGTTAACCTTCCCGGTTTCCTGCCCGGAAGGGTACTATTTTGGCCCCAGAGGAGTGGGTTTTGCAGGTCTTCTGGCTGAAAGGCACTTTGGTCGGATCATCTCAGGGCTCGCCCCTGCTGCCCATTCAGCACACAGAGCAGAAGTCTCTTCCTCTGACAGATCCTCCCTGGGCCCCCTTGAGGTGGTCCACCTTCCAGGCAGTGACTCTACCCCGTTATGGTGTTTTGTTTTCCTCACCGCATCTGTCACAATCTGAAATGATTTGCTCATGTGTTTGACTGCCCTATTCGACTCCAAGCTCCGCGAGGCATAGGGTCTTGTCTGTCTTGTTCTGCAAACACTACTTCCAGCGCCATGCCCAGCACGGAACAGGCAGGCCGATTCATGTTCACTAAATGAATGAACAGGAAGGGGGGAGAGGACTGTCATCCTTGGGACTTGACACACACTGAGACGAGGGGAAAGGAAATGTGAAGGAGGGAGGGGGGAGTCACCCTTTCCCCCCAGGGAGACAAAGGAAGAGAGTCTGAGGTGGTCCAGTCTAGAAAAGGAAGTAGTGGGGGTGTTCCATCAACCCCAGGGGACAAAGAGTGGATAAGCAGGGGGGCGGGGTCAGGGTTCGAGGGATTAGCGCTGAGAGCCCCGACCGGCGGCCTCCGGCCTTGAGGATATAAGGTGGGTGGGGGATCAAAGGGGTTTGAGAGGCCCCGGAGAGACGCAGGCCCACCCGGGGGACAAAGAGAGAGGAGGCCCGCCTCTGCCGCCGTCGGATCGAATCCTCACGCAGCAGGGCAGAGGCGGAGGGCGAGACCCAGAGGGAGGGCCGGGCCTGGGGGTCTGAGGGGAAGGTTCACGCGGCCTAAGCAAGGGGCCTGCCGCGCTCCGGGGCGCTACCCCACCTGGTAAATGGCCGCCCAGCTCCCGGCCTTGTCGATCTGCTCGAACTCCTTTTCCATCTCCATGACGGCCCAGGGCGGCTTCTGCGCCTCCTCCTGGGCCCAGTGCACTGCCTGCCGCTCTAGGCCGCGCCGCGCTCTCGGCTCTTCAGCACCGCTGCAAGCCTCTACTCCCGCCGCTACTGCCGCCCTAGCCGCCGCTGCTTCTTCATGTCAACCCGGCAGCCGGAAGTACGCACCGCGCTGCCTCAGGCTCCGCCCCCCGCGTGAGAGAACCAATCAACATTCGAAAATGTCGGCAATAACTTCCGCGGGGCGGAGCCGGGGGGAGGCGGGGGGGAAGTGGCCTCAGCCCGGCGAAACGTCAAGCGGCGTGCGCTCTCTCCTCCCCACGCGGGGCTCGGGGCTTGGGCATGGCCCACGCCGGTTGCCTGGGCGACCCTGGGAGCCCCGCCCACGGAGCGTGGGTTTGCAAGGCCGGGTGGGTCTTGGTTTCAAGCCTCAACACAGCCAGTTGAGTTACAGAGTGACCTTGAAGTAACCACGGATCTGTCCTAACGCGCCGGCGACCTGGCCTCAGTGCTGCTAGCTGGAGTATGGGCCGAGGGCTGCATGCCTTCTCCTCAGGCCAAATGTCCGCCCCTTTTTCTTTTTCGAGGGTACTGTCCTTGTCTGAGACGCAAGATTTCTGTTTGAGGTCTCCTATCCTGGGCACTGCAAGATGAATGGATTGGGGTCTTGGAATGATTTTCAATATTTCTCAAAGTAGCAAGGAAATCCTGCTCAGACTGGACTCAGTGGAACACAAATTACGCAGTACATTCATGTATTAAATAATGCAGATTTCTAGAAACACCTTAAAAGGATTCAGATACCAGGAATCTGTATTTTTCACCAGCAACTCCAGCTGTTATACCTGAGGTCCTTCAAGCACATGTGAGAAAGGCTGGTCAGGTTGCCTTCCTCTGTGGGTCCTACTGTAAGCCATCCATTTCTGGGCCTGGCACATTATATGGAGATTGTGAGCTCCAGGGGGTCAGAGGACCTAGAGAACCGAATCATCTCTCTTTCATTGTTCATCTCAAGCCTGCCCAGAGAGGCTGCCTGATGGCACTGGTTGAATCCCAGATCATCCCTTGATGGCTTGTGGCATGCACTGTGCCTGGCATTCCAAGTACACGTTCTCATTTAATTTCTACAACAACCCTACAATATAGGCACTATTATTATTCCCATTTTATAGGTGAGGAAACTGAGGCACAGAGAAGCAAAATCACTTGTCCTCAGTAGCATTGCACATTGGCACAGAAGCCAAGATTCTCACCAAATCTGCAAGGGAGTGCTTGCTCAAAGAGCCGGGCGGCCGAGGTCCAAATTCCAGCTCTATTAAATAGCTAACTCACAACTTTGAGCAAGTTGTCTAACCTCTCTCTGCTTTTGTTCCCTCTTTTGTAAAACGAGGACCGTAAAAGTACCCACCTCATGGAGATGTGTGAAGATTGAGTGATTATATATATTGCTATAGATCTTGCTTTTAGTATAGTGAGTGGATGGATCAGCACGTAATTAGACCACATTATTATATACTTTATATATATATAGTATAGTATATATATATACTATTATATGCACTTTCGAATAATAGCAAATAGGGAGGTAAATGAGTGATTATTGAATAAATGCAATTGGTTTGATAACCAATGTCTTTAATTTTTTTTTTTAAAGATTTTATTTATTTATTTGACAGAGAGATCACAAGTAGACGGAGAGGCAGGCAGAGAGAGAGAGAGAGAGAGGAGGAAGCAGGCTCCCCGCTGAGCAGAGAGCCCGACGCGGGACTCGATCCCAGGACCCCGAGATCATGACCCGAGCCGAAGGCAGCGGCTTAACCCACCGAGCCACCCAGGCGCCCCTGTCTTTAATTTTTTAAGGTTTTATTTATTTATCAGAGAGAGAGAGAGAGAGAGCGCGCGCAAGCAGGGGGAGTGGCAGGCAGAGGGAAAAGCAGATTCCCTGCTAAGCGGGGAGCGTGGCGCAGGACTCCATCCTAGCACGCTGGGATCATGACCTCAGCCAAACACAGACGCTTAACCGACTGAGCCACCCAAGCATCCTAGCCAATGTTTTTAGAAACTCAGCATGCTGTGGGGGGAAATTAACCAAAGATGCCCATTCTGGTGAAAAGTTTGGAAACCCCTACGCTTGGCTAAATGGCTAAATCTTAGCGATTTAGGTGACTCTCCAGTCTCCTGCTCTCTTCCTGCCTTTATTTCTTTGAGTGTAGTTTGTGTGGAGCTCACAGAACTGAGAGCTCCTTGGAGGAACAGAGACCAGGGCTGGTTCATTCCTGTCCTCCTGAACTGAGCGAAGTAAGTAAACAAATCGAGTACCTATCTGGAGTGCAGGTGGACCCCATGCCTGCAAGGAGTGACACTTGGTGACTGGAATGGCCTCAGAGTGGCTCCAAAGCTAGGCACAGGTTCCTGGGGCCGTGAGAGGACGGCTAATGCAGGGTCCGAGTTTGGGCTCTTTCATGGCTGTATTGATATACTAGAGCTGCCGTCACAAATGTTCACCAATGTGGTGGGTTAAAACAACAGAAATGTATGTTCACACAGTTGTGGAGGCCAGAAGTCTGAAATCGTGCGTGAAGCAGAGCCATGTTCCTTCTGAAGGCTCTAGGGGAGAATCTTCCTTGCCTCTTGCAACTCTTGGTGGTTGCAAACATCCCATGGCTTGTGGCATATCATTCCAGTCTCCGTCTTCTTGAGCACCGTTGCAAGGAAATCCTGCTCATTACCTGGTTTTCTTCTCTGTATCTTCTCTTCCTCCGTCTAATCTCCCTCTGCCTCACTCCTAAAAGGATGCCTGTCACTGGATTTAGGACCTATCCTAATCCAGAATGATTTGGCAATCCCAGATAATCCAAGACGAACTCATTTTGAGATCCTTAAATTAATTGTATCTGCCAAGCCCCTTTTTCTGAAAAAGATCATATTCTAGATTCTGGGGTTGAGGACTTGGACATACTCTTTTGGGAGGCCCCACTCAATCTATTACCATGGTAAAGGGTAAAACTGGTCACAAATGTCGATCCTGAATAAAATCCCTAATTTCAGGTATCTGCTAATCCCATTACAACCATTCTTCACAGAGCAATAGAATTTTTAATATTTGGATCATGAAACTCTAATACATAAAACCCTCCCATAGTTTCCCATCCTTCTTGGAATAAAACCTAAATAAATCCTAACCCTGGGCCACAAGACCCAGGTGATCTCGGTTCTGCCCACCTCCCCAGCTTCTTCCCTCTTCTCGTACTCCACTCCAGACCAGTTCTTAATACAGAGAACTAGTTTCCACCTCAGGGCCTTTGCATCAGCTGTCACTTCTGCCTGGACCACACTTCTTGCAGATCTCACTGTTCATGTCACCTCTGTAGACAGGTCTTTTTTGACCACTTTCCGACTCAGAACAGAGCTTGTTTTGGGAACCATGGCATTCACCTCTGTCTAAAATTCCCCTGTTTGTTTATTTGTTGGCTTGCTTCCCTCTCCTGCCCTCCATTATAATGTTCTGTGGGGGCAGGGACCTTGATTTCCTGTCTGTGTCCCAAGCATCTTATACTAGGTCGGGAGGGGGGTACCCAAGGCCTTCCGTGGCTCTCTGCAGCTTGCTTTTCATCTGTAAAGCTCTGCCAGTTCCTGCCAAGGCCTGGCGGAGAACCAGCCAAGTTCTGCAATTCCTCGGAGATTTGATGGTGATGATTGGTACTCTTTTAGCGATGACTGTTTAGAAAATAAATAAATGACCATATGTCATGATAGCTAAAACCTTTTCCCGGCAGGCATGCCTGAGGAATGGGCTCATGCAGTTTACTGGGCCTTTCCCTCATGGATTTAGCTAATGAAGGAAATCAGTGACCCATTAAACTTTTTAAAAAGTCCTAAAGAGCTGTCAGTGGAGAAGGATGGCTGTTTACCAAGCCTCCAACAGATCATCTGCTCCTAACTTAGCCATTGTCAGCTAGTCTCCTGGTAAAAATCTGTCCTGGTCGTTTTCCTGGGAGATAGCCCAAGGTAAGAGCTTGGGATCCAGAGTGAGACCAAATTGGTCTCTGATGAAATGTCACTTCCTCAGAGAGGCTCTCTCTGATGTCTTCTAATAAACGGAATCGCATCACCCTATCCCTTTTCCTTCTTAGCCCTTACCAGGCATTTAAGGACTTATTTTCTCCCATCTGTTAACACATGGTGTTATGTTCTATATTTGTTTTATGTGTCTATCATCCATCTCCACCACAAATACAAATACCATAAAAGAAAAGAGACTAAGTGGATTTGGTTCAATGCTGTCTTCCTTGAGCGACAGGTCATTCCCACATGAGCACAGGAGTCCTCGGAAGGTTACAGAAACCAAGATGACAGGGCTTCTTACTACCCCCCAGACCCAGAGCTCAGGATCATCCAGCTCCCTTTGTCCACCAGTAATGACACATGGCCAGGAAAGGAAGTGGCCCTATTGTCTGAGAATCCCACGTGCTCTCCTAACATAGTCTGGCACCTTGACTGGATGGCTTGCTGGTTTGGGGTCAGCCAAAGAGGTCCCTGAGATGGAATAACTAACTGCGGACAAAGCCAAGGCCCACAGCACTGGAGACTGAGAGCATAGTGTTTCAGTCTCCAGCCACAGACTGCACTGGGGTCCTGCGCTTTATACTTCCCAACAGCCCCGCAAGCCTCGCATGACCCCATTTCGCAGATGAGGAAATGGCTGTTCAGAGAGCACAAAGAGGTAAAATCACTGAATACCCAGTATAGAATGCTGGCTTGGACACAGTGCATAGGAAGCTTTTAAATCTTGCATCTGCTACTTACTTGCTTTTGGGCCTTGGGCAAGTTGCCTCATCCCCTGGTGTCAGGCTGGATGCTTTCCAGTGAGAAAAAACCCAACCGAAAGTGGCTTTCACAAAATGGGGAATTTACTGGCTCATGAAACTGGGAAGTCCAAAAGGGCTTGCTTCAGGCACAGCTGCATCCAGGAGCTCAAACAATCCTGTCATGACTCTCTCCAGCTCTGTTATCTACTGCCCCTGCGTTAGCTTCAGACTCATGTAGGCTTTCCCCCTGAGGTCACCAGGATGGCCCCAGCAGCTTCAGGCTCACATCCTGCCAGCCCAGCAACCCTAA